TACACACATAATGCTTCTAAGCTATTCTAAGCTATTAGTCATGCACACGTACACACACACACAGGGATGGAGCTATGATGCTTTAAGTGGCGATGTCATTGTGTGTGCTGAGAGGAGAGTACACTGTCTGTGGAGGATCATAGAAGAGAGAGAATAAGAGGAATATTGAGCAGTGTGATGGGATCAGTGGCAATCCCATCTGTTAATGAGCAATGGACGCTGTGTGTGTGTGTGTGTGTGTGTGTGTGTGTGTGTGCGTGCGCACATTTGGTTGCACATTTGTGTGTGGACAAGGTTACGCATGTGCGTGGTTTTATGTAAATCAGTGCGGTGTGTGTGTGTGTGTGTGTGTGTACATATTTGTGTACATGTCTGCTTGTGTACAGTGCATGCCTGTGTGTGTGTGTGTGTGTGTGTGTGTGTGTGGGGGGATAAGTGTATGCATTAAACATGGCCTAATGTTATGGAGAGGTTCCCTAGTGTGCTACATAGGGTATAGATCTGTCTGGATCAATCCCTTTGTTCTCCGTCCCTCGACACACCATTCCCCGCAATTGGCCGCATTCTTTATATAAATAAATACGTACACAGACACACACACACACACACACACACACACACAGCTTTCACTGTGGCAAAAAAAAAAAGAAAAAAAAATCTCAATAATCTTGCTTTGATTTCCAGTTGTTTTCCTCATCTGCTCCGGCCTCACAGTGGAGTCCCACAATAGTTCAGTTCAGTCGTGTGCTCAACACCTGGTACTCATGATGTCACCAAGTCACAGTAAACAAGCCACACACTGATAGTGTGGCTTTCTGCAGGGCTGCAGAGTGCATTGTTCTGTTGGTCTGACTTTGATTGAGCTAGACACATATGCGTGCTGTACATTTAAAGACACAATACTAAAAAGATCAGACATACGTGTGTGTGTGTGTGTGTGTGTGTGTGTGTGCCTGTGTGCATGCGTACATGTGTACATTTGTGCGTGCGCGTGCGCGTGTGTGTGTGTGTGCCATTCTCATGGAGGATGTGCATGCTTAGTGCGGGCTTATGAAGCTCCGGGTACGATAATGGGTTCCAGAGGATTGCATATACGGTGTCAGCAGGGCAGATGCAAGTGAGAGGACGCATGTAATCCCTTCCTATTGGTGTGAAGCCGGATTGCGCCATTGATTCTGCGCATACAGTATACACACGCACACACACACACACACACACACACTGTGTACACACTACGGGTACGGCACTGCAGGGCAACCTACAGCTGCAAAGCCAAAGGTTACACACATGACCCTCGTGATTGAAGACTTCCTATGACAGTTGATCCAGTCGCACAATCGGTGGGTAAAGAACATGATGGACCTTTTCGGCTGAAAACATACGAGAGCTTTGACATCTGCATGACAAGCAACCAGTTCCTCCGTTTGCTGGGTCGGGTTCAGAGGGCCACACCGAAGGAGCGCCTTACATTGGATGTTTAGGGCAATGCCATATTGACGATTGTGGTTTTCTTAGTGGGACGCGTGGGTTATGGCTCAGGTTTTGAATGCATTGAATGACACGGCAGCCTTCAACGCGGTTCATTTACCCATGGATGCTTGAACATAATGTTTTCTTGTTGCTGCTGGTGTGTGAGTAAATGTTTTTAGGGGGCACATTAGGTTAATGACTGTTTCCTTGTAGCGACGGTTGCTCAGTCATGCGAACAAACAAGAGGACTTTTCCCTTAAATTAAATCAATCATGCAATAATGTATTCAGCTGAATTGAATGCTTTTAGATTCAACCGATTTTTTTTTTTTTTAAATTTTAATCTCTACATCAACAGCAAAACACAGCGGCTAAGATGTGAAAACATCAACGATTTATTTCGACTCTCATCTTTCTCTTTCTGCTTTCCTCCCGACTTCCCGGCCGAATCACAGCATCTCTCTCCCTGTTTTACAGCATTCCACCTCTACAAATGTGTTTGTAATTAAGCAGCAGGCTCCATTTTGCTTATTTTTGGGATGGATAGACTTTTGCCTACTGTTGCCCTTTTTCAGTTTGGTTCAGGGCTTTTATGATGAAAATGGTCGGAGCAACAGGAGAGATGTAAGATCAAATAATGCGGATTATGCAGATTCTCAGATTCCTAAGTCTGAGTCTCTTTGTGTCTATCTGATGGGGTGGTGGTGGTGGTGGTGATGGGGGGGTGGCTCAGTGGGTTTCTGCACCTGCTAATTCTGTGTTTGTCCGTGTCCCAGGTCACCGCAGGTCACACTGCCCACATTTGCCAGGGCGCACTGATTAAATGCCAGCATTACCATGTGCCCTTTTGCAAGGGGACCAGGCACACACACCAGCACACCGACGCATGCATGACAAAACTGCACATGCACATCTTTGGACCAAAAATAAAGTGGTCTTTTTTCCCCCCCGGAAATAAAGACTGGAAATGGGGGCACGCTTTTACGA